TCAAGATCTGTGTGAATATATTACATCCGTGTATTTGCGTCAATTCGATCGGTTTATGGACATATCCACTAGTTTCAAACCACCGAGTTTCATCATATCTTAAACGCCATTAATTGGAGACTTCACGAAGTATTACCATCTCTTATTTTAACAGCTTACAACAACTAAAGTATTCCACCAGCATCAGTGTTGTCCTTACCTACCTGACATAAATTTACAAAAGTCTACTTGTTCTTTATCGAGTATTCTATTCTTTATCTGTGTGATACTGTTTTGCTGTGTACAAACCATTCTGAGAAGGCGTATGCCTAATCTCAATCAGTGGTGATCGAAAGCAACTTGAATGAATAGTACAAAATAGGAGAAAATAAATGCAGCATATGTACATCTAAGCAACGTGAAGTCAAAACCTTTACATACTCATCGAATCTACTGAACATGTAATCTGCACAAATTATGTTGCTAAAACTTTTAATATTTAACAGCAAAATAAATACTCTGACTAATCTGACCTAAGCGATATTTATCTTAATATGTATTGTTTTGTGATATTTTGAAAGAAACATACATTTATATCATACGGGTTTCATCAGCTGGAACAAATTGTTTAATTGATTTGTAAATCCAACAGTTAAAACATCATGAATTGATGACATTCGCTTTATCTCTGTAATTCTTCACCCGTTAAGGAATGTAATATCTTAGTATATGTTGCATATAAGTTAACAACTTCAGTGGATTTAATTGTTTCTCTAATCTACTTGTTGGAAACTTTCACAATATCTAGACATGCAAGCACACTTGTAGGGATCTCGGTTCAAGTAATTTCTTGTACTTGTGAGTACTGTTTCGAGGAATTGTGTGACCCCCAGTTAATGCTTAAGCTTTTCAGTTTTCACTTATTTTCAAATATTTCAATTTTGATTACAAATTGACTTCAGTAAGAGAACCATTGTAAACCAGGTGTTTCGTCCTCGTTCGGGACTCTTCAGCTACAAGGCCAACTTGTATATCATTCTAATAAGTCACTGGCATCATAAGTCATATGAATTCATAAGTATCAAATACGTTTCTGTCATGATATACTATTTTTTGATTATCCGGATGATTGACTGACTTTCAGTTACTTTGCTCATTACTGCCTATCTGGATTTGTCTGTAATTTGGATTGGTCTAGTTCCCATTTCTATTGTTACTACTCATCTCTTAAACTCCTGTGTTCTTGTTTCCTTTTTTTTTGAATATTTACTTTTTAGGACACCAGAGAGCATTTCTGATGCATTAAAGTAAAATGTGTAAAAGCACCTTATAACAAACACGCTTGCACATTATAAATCTGTATACACATGCGTATATGTTTATATGTATTTTACTTCTAGACAGTTTTAAATAACTCTGAGCAAAAGTTGAGGCTGAGGGTGGTGATCATCTGCTGAAGTTGTTGCGCGTGCACACACACACACGCGCGCATTTGTATCTCATCATGTTACCTTGATTTTATTTATTTTTTCCGCTTCCTCTTAACGATCAAATTGACTGACCCAGAGTACTAATTAATTCAGAATATTTATTATTTTTGTATAATATGATTACCATTCTAATACATTTGTTTTTCTTCAGTTTAATTAGTTAAAATAAACAAACAATAACCCATGTCATCTCACAGCTAGAGCTCACTTAATGAAAAGAGATATATGGTAGTAAACTGTTGATTATTCTCTGCCTTGGTTCAATGCACTTTACACTCTTTCATAAATGTAAAGAAAAGAAAAACTTTTTATCACTGACTTTATTTCTGAGAAAGAAATAAAAATCTCTCTCTCTTTTTCAACTTTTTCTTCATTCCTTTCGCCTGTCTTTCATTTTGATGAAACAAGATCGTCTTCGCTTAATGAGAACAAGTAAATGTGTTTGAAAGATGCCTTTTTGACCAAGACAAAATAAAAACAAAACAAAACAGGATGACATCTTGATGTTATACTGTTTTTCTCTATCTAGTATTGTCTGATGTCTCTTCATGAAAGTAATTTTCCTTTATATAGAAAAAAAAACAAAAGAGTTAAACACCTACTCACAACCAGTCAAAATTCACACACTTTTTCCACTGTGATATCGAGTTACGGTAAGCATTTAGTGCCTAGAGAAAACATATCAAGAGTTTTTAATTACAGATGTTGTTTGGTGTTTCATCCATATCTATACTGAGACATACATACTTCAACCTAGATATAAGTATAAAACTAGGGCACTGTGGTAGAGTATAATTCCATAATGGATAAGATTTTATTTTGATAAATCACACAGTGTTGTCATCAGTTAATATAACTGTACAACAAACACTGTGTGATTTATCAAAATAAAATCTTATCCATTATGGTACTTCAACCTAGATTTTGTCACAAAGTCATTTCATCAGTGTGTGTGTGTGCGTCTCAGGTGGATCTTGTTTTCTTTTTTTTTGACAATTGTCTTGACATATTCAAGCAGCAACAGGTGGTTGCACAAACTATGTCACACTTACCTTTTTCTCTAAGATTTAATAATCCACTGGAGTAGGTTTCAAGCATCGAGTTATCTAGTTAACAATGTTGAGTGTGTTTTTTGGGGCGGAGGGGGGCGAGACTGATGCAAACTGGTTCCAACATCATGTCTACTAGTTAGTTATTTACTGTTTAGTTTATTTTTTTCGGTTTTTATTTATTATATATTCATTTGTGGTATTCACATCATAATTTATTTATTTTTCTTTTACTCACATAAGATTTCACTCATTTTTTTGTTGTTGCATATATATTTCAATTGGTGTGGAATAAAGAGAGGATTATAACTCTATATTTCGTTTTTATCCCACATTCAAAATATTCATAGTCTTGAAAGTTAAGCAGGCTGTTTTGTTTATATCATTTTAAGATTTTGCATAAATCTATGAAGATGTGAATTCATGTTTACGATCAAATGTGAACTGGTATTTAAAATTGATTTGTATACGGATTATTTTTGGTTAGGGAAACAATCTAGGTACTGTTTTGGACTCATTAGATTATTGAACTACTCACTAGGTAGGTGAATTGATAATGGCACCCACGTTTGCATTTGAATGGATCATTTAAACTTGGTTCGAGGTGTATTGCGTCGGATAAAAAGAGGAAGGAATGTATATATATATATATATATATGTAATGGATTTAAACCAATTGGATTTCTTGTAGTCACCTTTTCCATTTACTTCTAAAAGAGATGTTTGCGATTCCCGCGAATACAGGAAGGTTGAGGAAATCTACTACGTTTATCAACTCAGAAAGGCCTTCGACAACGTTGACCGATAAGTAATTTGGAAACTGCTTGAACACTACGGCGTACTTCAAGTCTTTATTGACCTCATTCCAGAGCCACGTGCCAGGTGATCCACAACGAGCCACTTTAACGAGGCGTTCAAAGTGAACACGGAAGTAAGACAGGGCTATCTATTATTATTACCCATGATATTCTCAGTTGTGGTGGACTGGATTATGTCTCAGACTGTGCGTTGGGAGTGAGAAGACGGGAATATGCTCGACCACCGATAAGAAGACTATATAAGATTTGGATTTCACACGTGGGTAATTTATGTTCAATGTCACACAAATTCGAAGACTTGCAGGCGAAAACCAACAAATTGGTTGAAGAAGCAGGCAGGCAACGAAGATAGGACTCCAGTTGAATATAGAGAAGACGAAGATGATGAAGTTAACCAACCAACAGTAACAACAACAGCCAGTGCCAATCACCATCAAAGGGAGAGATTTAACAGAGGTTACCTCCTTCACTTATTTAGTCAGTAAGCAACGTTTAAACTACCAGCGGAACGGATGAAGATGTCAATGATAGCCAGAATCGGAAAGGCATGATACGCACGCCTTCATCAACCTGAAACCAGTTTGTAAATCTTCTGCACTAACTCAGCCAGCATAATCAGCAAGCCTCGGATTTTCAACACAAATGAGAAGTGAATCAGTCAGTTCTTCTATACGGGTCAGAAACTTGGCGTGCGTGTCATGAAAAGGATTTCCAACAGCCTGTTGCAGACTTTTATCAACAGCTGTCTTTGTTCCACACTGAAGATCAAATGAATGGTGGAAAGAATTAGCAACAAGAAACTCTTCAGTGGAACAATCCCTATGTTCCACTTGAAACCCAAGGGAATAATAATAATATTATAATACCATGTTCATGACTTTGAGTCTGAAGATTTGAATTTTTGGGTTTATACTTTCTTCTACAGTCTACTTGTAACTACTATTTTAATATACATTTTCCATGGCTTTCTCTCTATATTTATTTTATTCGGACTTGTTATACATAATGGCTCATACCTTTGATTAATTTTGTATTTATGCATATAATTCTCTATGTCATTCGTTAAAGCATATCACGGAAATTAATCGATAATTCACAACTAGTAAACATTAATTTACTTATTATGGAAACCACTAACCTCGAGATTATTAGAAGTCATAATATTCTTTTATTTTTATAATATCCTATAACAATTTTCGGTATATATAGTCAGCCAATTTCCTATCTGCATAATTATTTATCTTTCCCTAACCAATACATTCAATATTTAATCTGGGTAATTTGGTTGGCTTTCAGGGTTGTTTTCTGTTTGTTTTTTTAATTTTCTACGAAAAATTTAGATCGTGAAATTTGATTTCATTGTTATTAGTGTTATTATTATTATTATTATTCGTGGTGATTTTACTTTCATTAACTCTTCTCCAAAAACTATACTAAAAATTGATCGTTTAATTTAGGTGACGTTAATGATGAATACTTACCCATTTTTATTCAGTTAGATGCACACATTTTTGGCTGTTTCGGTAAACAAAACTAAAAGAGATACATAACATAAATGTCTGTATAATTATTTTTTGGTGAATTCACATTTCATTTCTCAAAACCAACTTCATGTCTTTCTCAAATATAATGGTGAAAATATCTGTGTATATATATATTTACAGATTATCAGATCGTTCTGCAATCCAGAGGATTATGCGTCGAAGTACAGGTTCACAGGCTTTACTTCATTTTTGCCTTGGTTCTAGTGTAAGTGAAAATACAACACCGACAGCCATACGGAATTCTCGACACACAGATCGTAAGTTTTTGATTAATTTTATGTTCAAAGTTGCACTTAATAGTGCAGTCTTTTTGTTCTACTAACAATACTTTATTGAAAATTTGGGAGTACCTTAATAAGTGTTTTGAGTCAGCGTTTTAGCCCTCCTGAAGCGTTCTTCATGAAACTTGACATCATTATTGAATTAACGGATAAGAATACAACTGATAATAAGGTGGTAAAAAGCCTAACCTGTCTTAGAGCACTTACCCTCATTTTTACACTATTCTGCCAATAGTGTCACGAATTCACACACAGTTACTTTTTGAAGCTAACTGCTCAACGAGAACATCCTGAATTTCTGATAGAAGTGTATAACCTGTTTGAGGGTAACCTAAATTATTCATGATACCACATACTACTGACTATTTTATTTGAACAATCAGATACTACTCACAAGTAGTAGTGCTTGTTAGCCAGCCAGCTAGCCGGATCGAAGTGACCTAAACACCGGATGGCGGTTTCGCTCGTCTGAGGCCGACCTCACCAGCAACGTGCCCGCATTCGATTAGTTTCAGACACTTGAAGCAGCTCAAACCGAAGTTCTGACTAGCTGCTCTAGCGAAATGCTAGTACTTTGGATCACATTTGCAAATTAGTTAATACTCGCATCAATCAGTAGTGTATGGCACTGTACATTTATGCTTGCTTCTTTTAATTGTTATTTATGGCAGCAAGCAGATCACACTATGTAATCGGAATAATTTCCGTTTCCTAAGGAAACTGTGGTAAAACATCACTTCTGCAAATCGCAAATTAATTTTCAAATAACGAATTTGATCCTAGCCTAAATCAAGATTTTTTACATTGGGAATAGTTTCGCGTAACAGTTAAATTGTCAGAAAATATTTATTCTTAGATTATCAGTTGTTGTTGTTGTTGTGTCGTTATAAATGTTGCTGGATAATTCTTTGAAAAATTTTCACAATTTCATATCGTATGCGTATCATTATTTGTAAACAAATTGGAAAATAATTCTGAACAGGTTTGATGCTCCTCATTTAACGAAAAGTCAATCCCTCATAACAAGTAAAAATGTATATATATGTATATTATTTTTTTTCTCGTATCCACATAAATTTTTCCAGATGGTTATGCCTTTTCTCAAGAAGAACATGGTGCTGTAAGTCAATCTCAATTGATTCGTGCCTATGACTCAAATCGTACAAAGCCAGAAGGAAGATAAAAGTTAACAATCAAATACAAAACTCTTTGTTCGTGTAGAATAATGATTATTGTCTTTATCAGTAAATATTCCAATTGCCTTTTACTCACGCTTTTTCAGTCTGCTTAATTTTATTTTATTTTCATAGGAAAGAGTTTCTTCAACTGAATTTCTTGTTCATCCTCATATATATATATATATCCGTTTCTAACATTCTCTTCTGTAACATTGGCCTTTTCTGGTGTTTGTACATCCATTGAACACTGTTATTGTAATAAATGCTTGTTATAGAAAAGGGACATATGTGAATTCTTCAGCTTTTATGGGTATATATGTAGAGTAGAATGTGTGTATAGACAAGATCATTTTCTATTGTTTCATTCTGACAACAAAATAAAGCATATTATACTTATTTATTATATGGATAATAGTGTAGTCTAATATGCGTCCATTTATTGTTTTCCTGTTGTACATTTCACCATGTAGAATAGTTCGAAAACAATCATCTAGGCTTCCTAAAATGGGATGTCTATAAAGAGAAGTGCGAAAGCAATAAACGATGTATGTATATATATTTCTCTTCAGAGATATTCTTTGTCTTCTACTGATTTCGTTGTTTCTTTACTGTAATAGTAAAAGTGTGTGTATGTGTTTTGAAGTCTTATCGACTTGCTTTCATCTCACTGTACTAGTGACGAGTGGATGAACGTCTAGGATAAATTGACTACATAATTATTACCATTACGGATTACTGATTTTGTAACAAAAACACTCACATTAATACTTATCCTTGTGCATATTTTTTTCTTGTTATCGTGTATACACTTACTTGTGCCAGATAAATAAAGGATGATGTGTAATTGCAAAATTTCTGTAATGTAATTACGATTAGATAGATCTGTGTGTGTAAATTAATTCTGCCTAACTACCCCCTGTTGTATTACTTCTATTTCCTGTCCTGTTTGTCTCATTCAACTTTTTTAACAATTATGGCTGTCACTATTAATAGCATTATTGTTAGTATTATTATTATTATTCGCCTATTTAAACGATTGGCATGTCCAAAAATTTATATATATATATATATATATATATATATATATATATATATATATATATATGGGATAATAGTGTTACTGACATGTTTGTTAGTTTATTTGTGTCAATCAGACATTGTGGTTATCAGTGTTTCGCAATAAATGGATTCATATTTATACATGCACATACATTGTATCCTTGTTGGTGTGTGTGTGTATGCGTGTGTTTGTTATGAGGTCAAGTTTTTTCTTTCTTTCTTTCTAAAGCAACATTTGTGAGGAATCAATGAAGATATGTTATTGTTTGTTTTTTAATGACCTATATTGTTAAACAATTTGGTATAAGATTTTGCTTATATATTTATGTAAATTACTGTTTCTTCCCCGCCTCCCCCCCCCACACACACCCCTTTTTTTCTGTGTCATTTTTCACTTCTTTCTTACCAATATGATTAGTAAATCTTCTTACATCTTACAAGTATCTTTCATTTTTGAAATTGACAAATACAATGAGAAAGTCAATGGAAAAAGTGTACATCGAAGCTTTCTGAACTCCATTTAGTATTATACCTATCTACCACAAAAAAAATAATAATCAGACTGTAATCTCTAAACTATATATTTTTACGTATTCATATGTATTTCAGTCTTGTAAAGTTAATATTTAAGCAAATAAAAATATCTGAGTAATTTGAAGTTTTACTTTTTGAAAAATAAAGTATCAAACACAGCCAGATGCAGAGAAGAAATCAGCAGAGAGAGAGAGAGGAAAAGGAAATTACACATATAAGCAATTAGACAAAAAGGTAGGTTATTTAGAGTGAATAATAATAAGGCTTTATTTCAGACAATATGATAACACACATAGTACAGAAAGTCTGAGCGTATATAGTTGCAAAATATTTCCTCTTCGTGCAGCATCTACACCTACAAGTAAAATATTATGTGATAGTGTTATTCCATACTAAGAAAGTGTAACGACAGAAGACAAAGGCCAGGCAAAAGATCGCTTATCGATAAAATCAAGCGATACTCATCGATTTTTATGTAAATTATTGTCAGCGGAGAAGCAACGTCTTCTGATTGGTTGTTTTCTTGCTGAAGGTTATTCTGTACTGCTTGTGACCGTTTCTTAGATAGTTATGCTATATATCCACGAATTGTATTTGCACACATTAAGTCTGCTGTGATTGGTTAGTGAGTTCCTCAAGATTAAGCTTTGTCATTGATTTTTCTCATGACCCCGATTCGGGACGTAAATTTTTGTCTACAATTTTGGCTTGCAGACAGCTCTCACCACAAAAGAACCAGTTCTTTACGATACTTTTCTTTTATTTCCATCAAGAATCGCATGATGTTTTGTTGAAAGTTGATTAAAAACGTGCACGAGTTCATGTGGAAATACTTGCATGATTAAAACGAAAAGAAATACGGAATCGCCTAAGCACTGTGATGGATGCAAATGTTGATAGCCCAGGGATTTAGGCAGGTCGTCGTAAATATGAATTCCCAATGACAGGTCTCTAAAAATTTTGGTTAACTTATGTATACCTGTTTTTGAGAAGTAGTGCGTCGAATTTATCACGATTGATTTTAGTTTTCTGAAGGCCTCAAGCATGTAGCATTACACAGTTTGGACGCTTACTACTGAACAGGATACTGACTGTTTTTGACACGAAGTCATTTTTTGTGATTATAACTACACAACTTCATTGATCAGATTGCCTACTTCACTTTTTATTAAACCACACCGTAGGAAATCGAAAACAACCAAACACTTATTATTATTGTTATTATTGTTCCCTTGGGTTCCTAGTGGAACATAGGGCTTCAACTGCACTCCTCCACTTGCTTCTGTCTTCTGCTGTACTTTTCACCTGCATCCATGTTAGTCCATACCGTTTCAAATCCTCTTCACACGATCTCCTCCATGTCACCCTTGGACGTCCCACTCACCACTTCCCTTTCGGGCTCCACTCGAGCGTTGGCCTGACGCGCGATGTCACCCAACGGCCTCCTTAGCGAGTGTCCAATCCATCTCCACTTTCTCCTGCATATTTGTTGAGCGATTGGTTCTTGTTTTATTCGTTCCCATAGTTTCCTGTTGGTGATTGGTTCCGGCCATCTGATCTTGATAAAGGTCTGCAACCTGTTGGAAATATTCTTTGTGACCCGCCAAGTTTCTGATCCGTATAGCAAAACTGACTTGACGTTTGTATTCAAAATCCGAATTTTGTTGTTGATGCTGAGTGACGAAGATTTCCAGATTGGTTTCAGGTTGATGAATGTGTTTCTCGCCTTCCCGATTCTCGATTTGACATCGTCGTCCGTTCCTCCTCTGGTTGAGACAATGCTCCCTAGATAAGTGAATGAAGTAACCTCTTTCAAATCCCTCCCGTTGATGGTGATTGGCGCTGGATGTTGCTGCTGTTGTTGTTGTTGGTTGGTGACCGGAATAGATTACTGTCTCCCCAGTTGATAGTTGGCACCTTCCACATCCGTTCCATCTGCTCTCGCAGATTCCCAACACTTCTATTCCATATCTTCTCATTTCTGCGGCTACCTGGGCAGCCTTTCCAGCTTCGTGCATTGTACGGACATTCCACGTCCTCAACCTTTTTTTGCTTTCATCGAAAGAAGGCACATCGGCTGACTGGGTTCCCGAAGACTTTCACCAGTCTGCGTCATTTCACTTCCCTGATTCCAGCGAAAAATAAGGTTACTGTTTATATTTTTAATATGTTTGTGCGTTGAAGTTTCTGTAGCAATTTGGTTAAGTTTTCGGGTGGAGTTGCTAGCACCACGCCCCAACCTTCCCTCTTTATCCGGGCTTGGGACCGGCTAATACTTCTAATATTCATTAATCTATTTCTGTTGGTTATATTTTATATTCATAACATACATAAAGGCCTCATATTATGCACTACACCAGGAGCCATATTTCAGTGACTAGGCGTGAATTAGTGAACAATTCTTTACCTCCCCCAGTGTTGCGAAATTCCCGGAATTCATTACATCATTACCATTGTTTTATTTTGTAACTTGTTTTCAAACGAGGTAGAAATGATGCAGATCACTCTTGAAACAAAATTCGCATTTTAAAATCGGGAAACATAGTAAGTATCTTCGAGGTACTCAAAAGACTACGTTTTCACCTACAGAGATCAATGTCGTCTGCACATTTTACTTTACTTCCAGACTCCTGAAAGATGAGTATGACATTCATGTGTACTTGTGTGATTTGTCTCTTATTGATTCTTTTTAGTGTAAATATCTGATATTACAAATGTTTAGCTGTGAAGTCTTCAGTTAAATAATGCACTCACTAGACATTTCTTTCTGTAGAAGATAACATGATAAGTGCAGGCGATATTTTAAAAAGTGCAGTTAGTTACATGTAGTCTGGTTGGTTGGTTAGTGACTACGTCCACAACCAACTTTGAAACTTGTCTGGCTTTTGCAGTATTCTAACACGATGATCTTGAAAACTATATCGATTAAACTTATTTCTGCTTTTATTTTTCTCAGGACAGTACTCTCATGAGTAATAGCTGTTGTTGTAGCCTATCAGTACTCGCAAGCCTTCCTATCTATAGTTAACAGCTTTCCTGATTTTTGTTAAAACCCCATCAATTTAATGTACGGAAGATTTCCAAATTGAGTCATACACAAAAAAGACGTAACAGCAAAGTATTCTTTCCAACGAATGATTTTCAAGAGCTGTACAATAGTATTTATATTTAAAAAGGAATCCATAAAACCATTCAGATACTGGTAACTGTTTCTTAGAAGACGTATTATACAATATGGGTTGTTATCAAGAACTGGATGACTAAGAGAAGATTAGAAAACAGGAGTTGGAATTACACAATAATCGTGAAGAATTAATTAATTAGTCAATGTAAACGGACAAAAGCTACAGAAATATGATAAAGTGTTCATATAAAATCTGTAATGTTATTATTAAACATTAGTATTTATTTATTACAAAATCATAATAACTAAAATATCAAACAAGTATGTCACTCTGGCCATGGTACGGCGAGTGAATGTATGCAATGCTTTTGGATGCAGAGTTTCGTTTTCGGAAACATATGAATGGCATATTCGAATTCCCTTTGTACGATGTTGAGTAACTCTGCGTATCACTGCGAAGCAGTCATACAGGGGTGTCTAGTGTCCAGAGTTGACTAGGTGATTAAGGAACTGTTAGTATTCTTCGTTTATCCTCTGGCTAGCCAGGGTGGTCAATGTTCAATAATACATTTACGGACATGACGATGTGTAATGCTAATATGCTTTACTCCGCTGGAGAAACTAAGCCGATGAATGTACACTGAGGTGACCAAAAGCGGTATCTTGCTCTTAACTCATGACTGGATTAACTGTCTGCTGAAAAATGTGATTCATAGAATGGCCGCTTGGAATATCTTCTTCAGACACTTGAAGAGATTGCCTAGATTGAATTTTTCATCACAAATTATAAACGTATCATCTGCATATTTTTTGTACAGCTGCAGTTGATTGATCAAAGGATAGAGGTTTCCGTGTCCAAGACTTACCATGAAACAGTCAGCTAAGGGTGAATCATGAGAAGACCATATAGCCACACCATCTTTCTTTAAGTAGAATTGTTCATTGAATCTATATTAAATATTAAATGAACATCCGAAAAGTAGTTCCTTCAGGTAGTTCGTGGGAAGAGGCGCTTCTAGGTCATCGGAATTGATATAGTCGCATATGAAGCATACTGTCTTATGGGAGTGCATGTGAGAAGGGAGGCGACGTCTAGAAAAAGCATTTGTCTTTCAAACACATTGACATCTCTTACTGATTCAATGAAATCAAATGAATCTTTATGACTTTACCTTGTCATATTTCTTTGTTAACCATTTCGCAATTTTATAATAAGTCGAGTTGAACATGTCTATAGTAGGTCAGAGTGGGACATCCTTCTAATGTACTTTGGGTAGCCATATAGTCTTGGAGTAGTTGGGCTGCATGGTCGCATTTCTTCATACGCCTCTGATACTATGACTGACTCTTCTTTCATCTTTAATAATTTTGTAAAATTTTCTACTCTACCTATTATGTCATTCTGATCGGAGTATTTGAAGAATATAGTCTTGCATGTAACTAGGTGTATTAATTTATCGATATAGTGTAATCTGTTCATCGCTACGATGCCGTCACTTTGGTTTGGAGAAACAAGGACTAAGTGTTTATTCTCTTGGAGTTTTCTGAGTTGTTTGCTGTGCTCTTTCATTAGTAGTTAACGATGACTAGTTAGTGCTTGCATGCATTTGTGACAGCTATCCAGGAATGAAGCAATGAACCTTTCTAGATCTTTTCTGGAATTCAGTAACGAATTAATTGTCTGGTTGATTAAATTCTCAAGCTGAACTTCGGTCTGCGGGCTGTCAATTTCGCTGGATACATTACAGAATTTCGGCCCAAGCTCTAGGACTTTACTTTGGATAGGAGTGAGAGGTAAATTTAAATGCTTGAAGAAATATGATTCATGTTTCTGCGGAAACAATGAAAGAATTTTGGATGATTTCAGACTTTCTGTTAGTCGGGAACTATTGACTTCGTAGCGTTTTTTGTATGTTATCAGACACATATTTCTGAAATATCTTTCGTTCAAATTAAGTGATACAGAGATGTGAAAGTTTCTGAATATCTTATA